GGAGGCGAGGTGGTCCCCGAGCGGAGAAGAGGTGGGTGGAGGCAGGGAGGAGATGGTGGGCGGTGGCGGATGGGAGGTGGGCAAAGGCGGAGAGGAGATGGCAGGAGGAGGCGGAGGGGAGGTGGGCGGAGGTGGAGTCGAGGTGGGCGCCGGGCGGAGAAGACATGGGCAGAGGCGGAGAGGAGATGGTGGGCGGAGGCAGAGAGGAGATGGTGGGTGTTGGCGGAGGGGAGATGGCTGGAGGAGGTGGAAGCGGAAGGTGGGAGCCGATGGCGGAGTCGAGGTGGGAAAGCGGGAGGGCCCGTTGGACTTCAGTGCAGGGAAAGCAACGCCCTGCAACGGGCCCTATTTCCAACGGGCACACCAATCCGGGCCGCCCGCGGTCCTACCGGCCCAACGATCCGGATTTCCGCGCGACCTTAAAGCGGACGGTCTGGATCGCCGTGCGATCTTAAAGTCTTAAAGTCTTAAGATCGCGTGGAAATCCGGACCGTTGGCCGGTAGACCGCGGGCGGCCCGGATCGGCCAAATCTCACGTACCGAATAGCGATTTCTATAAGTGTAGGGACTTAGTTAGTGAGCCCCTTCTAACCCCTCTAAGCCACATCTATACCTCTTATGAACCCTCTGAACCCCCTATATGCTTTTCATGAAATGGACACATAGTGGTGTCATGTGTGACATGCACAGCATGCCTTTCTTTCTTTGAAAATTTCTTTTAGCCTTCTCTTTTAAATCCGGAAATCCAGCCAAGGTCTGTACCATCCCGCCACAAGGGTCAGGTAAGATGCCACCTCCTAGTTTTCCGCACCATTTGGAAGAAAAGCGTATCATGCGTTTGTCAGGTAAAACTGCTCAGCATGATTGGCCCTGGCAAACAAAGCACAAAACAGAAAATGCCAGGTTTGATTAATAATTAAGAACATTTGTAGTATCTGTGTTGACCAGTTTAATATCTCATCCTGAAAAGAACAGAAGATTAACAACTCACCTTTGGCAGCATGCGGGCAACTGATGGGCTCACAGCATCTATGATCTCTCCTGCAGTCGCCAATGCTAATGTTAGACTGCCAACATCAGCCTGCACACTCCCACAATCACAGAAATCATAGCAAGGTATGAAATGAGTTTGAAGTTTGAATACACTGCATCTGATTTTTGTAGCTCTTCAAATGCAACACTGGCGACCACGAACCGGCTGAGGTAGATAACGATGGAACAATTACGGTAATGGAAAGCTTTATTCATGGTATGCTGGAAAATTGCAAGTACACTGGCCAGTCCAGATGTCGCCACCATTAAGTCAAGATGGCCATAAAGGTTATTTTACATATATAGTCAAACAGAGCTGCCCGGTAAACCGTAGGCAGAGAGGGAGAAGAGGACAACAAATGAGGGGCTGTAACAAACTGTTTCGTCAGAGTTTCATATACTCATGATGATATAGGACAGATCTTAATACAGTCATAGGCATTCATAGTCAGATTATTAGAGGTTGCGGTCGTCCTTAGAGAAATACTCAACGTAATGACATGGAACGTGATCGGCCGCCTCTTTCGTTTGAAAAGAAGGGCCTACCAGCCCTGGTTTTCCAAAAGTGTAGCGGCGGCAGACTGTGGGAGGCCGCGCGAGTGTACCTGGCCCTTCAAAAAAAAAAAATGGGCCCCCAGCAAAAATGAGCTGGGGCCGACCGGGAGCCAACCGGGCCAGCCCACCGAGCGGTCCGACCGGGAGGCGCCCGGTTGGAGGAGGGGTCCCCGGTTCATCCAGGGACCAGCCCTGCAACGTTCTTGATTTCTTGTTTCCTAATTTCCCCACCGGTCTACCCCTACCACGCCCCCCGGTTGGAGGAGGGGTCCCCGGTCCATCCAGGGACCAGCCCTGCAATGTTGTTGATTTCTTGTTTCCTAATTGCCCCGCTGATCTACCCCTACCATGCCTGGTTATGGAGCTAAGTATCAACGCCTACTCAAAGTTGCAATTGAGGCAAGCGACAGGCTACACAGACCTGCAACTTTCAAGGAAGGAGACTATGTTTGGGTTCAGATGTCCGAGTTTTCGGATGAGGAAGATGTATCTCGTTGAGTTACTTCCACTATACTACGTCCCATGGCAAATTTTGAAAGTCGTAGGGGAGGATGACTTCGGCCCTACCTATGTCGTTGACAACTTGACATGCCTCCTCATCTGCACACATATCCGGTGTTTCATGCTCCTAAGCTTTATCCTTATACTGCTACATCCTTTCCTGATCTAGATTCTATAATCGCTCGCTCTATTGATGACCGATTGGAAGGTGACAGAATTTGCGCTCATAAAGGAAAGGGTCAAGACAGGCAGTACCAAGTGCACTTTCAGTATCATCCACTTGATGTGGATTACCGGCAAAGTCCTGATCAAATGAGCACATCGTGTAGTAAATGCAGAGAGAGATCTCAGACCATGCCTACACTCAATCCACACGAGCATATCATTGCCCTGTTTGCGTTCTCATCCGATGACGCATTTTGCAGGGACTGTGATGGAGTTTAGTAGCTTGAAGCAACCTCACTCTTAAACTACCAGTACATGGCCCCAGCCAAGTTGAAAATCACAAACGAGCCTCTCCAAAAACTTTGGGGCTCAGTGAAGGCCAGGTAGTGAGCAACGGGGGAGAAGGCCGGTGGGGCCAACGAAAAAAGAAAAAAAAAAAAAGACTGCAAGTACTCCTGCTGGTTCATTCCATGCATGTGGAAACCCATGCACGGCTTCAGGAGGTGCAGGCACAAGAAAAAATGAAATAAAAAAAGGAAAGTGGCAGGCAGACGAAGGAGAGGGGACAAAATGCCCCCTCACTGTTGCTAGGAGTCCGCCTCTCACGGTGGGAGGCAGGAGGAAAGAACTTCAAACAAGGTTCCTGCAAAGATCTGGACGTGATGCAGTCAGATTCATCCAGGTCTGGGTCTACTGGCACCTGACTGCAATTGTGGTCAGACCTGAATGAACATGACTGCAATTGCGTCCAGAGCTTTGAAGGAAATGACCTAGTTTGAGTCTCCTCAGCTACGCGAAAAAAAAGTAGAGAACCATGAGAAAAAAAGAAGTACAGAATCATGATCGCAGTCAGAGTTGAGGGTGGACTCTCACTAGGGCGTTTGGTTCGGGGCTCTTGACGTGATCGCAGTCAGATCAGTCCAGGTCTGGCCACAATTGCAGTCAGATGCGAGTAGGCCCAGACCTGGACGAATCTGGCTGCAATCAAGTCCAGAGCTCTGTAGGGCGTAGTTTGCAGTTCTTTCCTCCCGCCTCTACAATGGGAGTCATGAGAGGCGGGCTCCTGGCAACACTGATGGGACATTATGTCTCCAAAGTTTCTTTTGCCCACGAAGTGGCACGCCGAACATATATTTCTTTTTCTTTTTTCCTTTTTTGTTCCACCACCTGTACCTCGCTCTGGACTAGTCCTGATACAGGGGCTGGCTTTGTAGAGAGTTTGGTAGGGGTGGCACGTGAGTGAAAATGATGGCCTCCTTTTCATTCCATCTGCTGGCAGGAGGTCCGGGACGGGGGTTTCATAGAGGTCGTCACCAGTACCACCTCAATTTTCCATGCGCTGCTGATGCGCTGTTTCTCCTGGCTGTCAGCCTCGGCAAAATTTAAATCTGGGCTTGTACATTTAGCCTCAGAGGTACTGGTGGTTTTTTTTTTTTTTTTTTTTGGGGG